CCTAATTTCAACAACACCAGAATGCTTCCTTCTGGCCTTCCTTACAGGATTAGCCCTGTAAAGTGGAAAAAACAAAACAATTTCCTTTTTCAAAATTTCCCAAGCTTCTTGAGTTGTTTTCCCCTTGAGGATTCTCATCCATGGAATTCTTCCCAATCTCTCTCTAGGTTTATTGAAATTAGCTCTCTTAAAATCCAAGACTCTAATTTCACTTTGTTCTACCACTTGTGTTTGCATAATGTTGAATTCCAATATTGCATGGTCACTTGTCCTCAGGGTTCCTATGGCTTCAACAAATGGATTTCACAACCTATGGTACAGTATATCATACAAATGACTCTCGGGTTAGTACAAGGTATGAATCAGATCAGAAGATTGGATAACCATTTGTCGGAAATGGCATATGGTTTCCTACCTGAGCAGGGGATTGGACTAGAAGAGTTGGAAGAGGTCCCTTCTGTTATTCTGTTATATTAATTGATAAGAGATAACTTGCCTGGTGAGGATTTTTTGTTTTTGGATTTGCAATTATTTGATGAAATGTCAAGGACAAGGATTCACATTGGCTGTATATGGATAGCATACTTATCCATTGATATTTTGATTACGGTTTATTCATTAAACCATTTTTCTAGATTCAGGCAACCTACTGATCCATGAACAGAAAACATGAAGTATGTCTGCACAACATGCTGATTAACTGTGATTGGCTAGGTTGTGCCATGTTGAGAAGTGACTAGTGCCAGTCTATCAATGTGGAAGGCAGAGTCTAAAAATTGGGGTAAGGAGTGGTCCTCAAGATCCAGGATATTCAACCAATTAAAATATGGGGGAAATGAAACTAAATTAATGTGAGTTTTCCTGGAAACTATAAGCAATTGTGTAAAAGCAAAGCTAACAATAGTCTACTGGCCTAATCCCATTTGAAGAATATCCAGAATATATAGCTGTAAGTCTATTGTTTCAGGGCCAGGGTAGATGTTCCACCAGCCACACAAATTATGCAAATGCCATGTTATAGAGAGAATAGCATGCCGAGGGGCCACAAATACAGATCACTAATACACTCAACTACAAAGTAGCTAACCACATTTTAGCTGAGCATGGTTGTGCAAATACAGCTTTTTGTGATTTTTTTATCCATGCACATACAGTGGTAAAGCCTTGGTGTGTATCAGAGGTGGTATTCAGCAGGATCTGACCAGTTCTGGAGAACTGGTGGTGGAAATTATGAGTAGTTCAGAGAACCGGAAAATACCACCTCTGATTGGCCCCACCCCATCTATTCTCTGCCTCCAAAGTCCCAACTGATCAGGAGGGAAAGGGGATTTTATAGTATCCTTCTCCTGCCACACCCACAAAGCCATGCCCACAGAACTGGTAGTAAAAAAAAATGATTTCCACCACTGGTGTGTATGTATATTTAATGACAGCAAGAAATCTTTGTGGGGAACATGTAATTTTTTAAAGCTTCTTTAAATTTCTCCCTTGGCAATGCTGTTTCTAATGTTTACTTGTTTTGCTGTTGACAGCTGACCTGGTAAAAAAATTATATGTCACTTTTTCAGGAAATAGAAGAAGACAAGAAACAAGCAGAACGAGAAGGAATGGCTGTCACTTCAAGGAAGGCTAGGCCAGATGGCCTTACCATCACCATCACCAAACCACATCATGTAAACACACTCTGCCTTTTCTGCTGAAAATGAAATGTTGGAATAGTACAGGAGATTCTAGCTACATTAGATTATTTTAGTAACAGGAAACCTTTGCCTTTTCCCAAACATTCTTGCACTGTTAAGATGTGGTGCTGTTTCAATGTAGTTGTTCCTTTTGTAGTTACTACTGGGCTCCAAGCGGGACTCCCAATCAGCTTGTGATCCTGGTTGTTGAATGCAAGTCTTCTTGCCTGCTTGTAAATAGCTGCCAATCTACAGATGTCACCTCCACGTCTTCATCTGTAGGTTGCTTGTTTTTACCTTTCCTGCTACACACACCCTTTTTTCTATTTTGTCTTAGCATTTGCTTTTGTAAAGTCAAAAGACTGGATGGGGTGAGGCTGCCTCTGGACATCAGTACATCCTTCAAAACATCAGGGTGTGACTCAATTAGCCAGGCAACTGGGATACTCCTGAGAAAATGTAGGAGTGAACATCTGGATGAATGTGGGAAGTGCAAATAATGTATTTCTGATGGCTGCAGCTGCTTTTCCAAAGCACAGGCAGCAATCCCAACTTTACTTTCTCACATTTCCTAATCTAGTGCCTATGTGTATTTCTATCATACTTCATCAATTTCCATAGGTAAAGATGGAAGAAACTGACCTGAGAAGGTGGGAAAACCTGAATAATCATATTTGTCTTGAGAGAGAAAACGGGTAGAAAGTAGGAAAAACATTACAGAATCAGACACAATGGAAAGTTTCTCTTGTAATGCTGCCAAGAAAACTATATTGATGTGTACATGAAGCTTTCAGTAGTTGAAGATGACTTGACATTTCTTTTAAATAGAGGTGGAAGAATTTGTAGAGCAACAGAGCACAAGGTTGTGGGCAGCTTAAATTGTAGTAAGAAAAATATAAAGTAGCAAGTTTTAGGTTAGTCTCTTAGGAATTTTTAAAAATATAATAGCAATACATAGGTGCACATAATTCTTCTTTCTCATCTTCTGCATAAGGTCATGCCCACTATGGAGGAAAGGAGATAACTGGATATGCTTAATCTGAAGACAGATGACTGAGAAGGAATATGATGTCACAGTACAAATATCTGAAGGGGTATCATACAGATATACATGTCTGAATTCCATAGCACCTACTCTGGGGTTATATTACCCTACATTTTTTGTAATCTTAAATTACAAAAAAGGGGGTGACCTATCAAAATGACCTATCAATAACAGCAAGTTGATAGGAGATTGAAATATTAAATGAGGTGGTGAGATCTTCTTTTCCAGATGTGTTCAAGCAGGAGTAGGACCGCCATCTCTAGCCTGAACAAGAGATTGAGCTCCAGGCTCCTTCTAAGTCTGGAACTCTGATTCTAAACTATCTCCAGAGCTACTGCAGTCCTGATAATTATTTACACTCTTTCCCTAGGCTAATAGAATGTTACAGTATAAGAAAACCTGCAAAGCAAATGCAAAGATATACATATTGTCTCCACTAATTATACTTTAGACTTGTCCCCACTAGGGAAAGACTTTCAAATTACACAGCACATTTAAATAACAGTAGCACTTAGACTTATATACCACTTCATAGTGCTTTACAAACGTCTCCAAGCGGTTTACAGAGTCAGCACATTGTCCTCATTTTACTGACTTGGAAGTATGGAAGGCTGAATCAATCTTGAACCAGTCAGGATCAAACTCCTAGCAGTCGGTAGAATTAGCCTGCAATACTGCATTCTAACCACTGCTCTCTTAGTATAGTTTCAAATCCTTTAGTTAAACCATATAAAACTCTATCCTTTCTACTGCCTTGTTTATTTATTCAGCTTATTTATGTATTTATTTGTTCACCCACTTACCTGGTAGTTCACCACAGTCATGGTGATGATAGCAATAGCACTTAGACTTATATATCACTTCACAGAGTTTTAGAGCCCTTTCTAAGCGGTTTCCAGAGTCCATATTGCCCCCAACAATCTGGGTTCTTATTTTACTGACCTCAGAAAGATGAAAGTCTGAGTCAACATTGAGCTGGTGAGGATCGAACCCCTGGCAGTCAGGAGAATTAGCTTTCAATACTGCATTCTAAGCACTGCATTACTACAGTTCATGGTTTTATGAAACAACTCAATAGATTATACAATCCAGTGGTGGGTTCCGGATCCCGTTCCAACCGGTACAGTTGGAAGGGGTCCAGCGGCATCCACATGGACGTGCGCAGCGCGCACATGTATCTTAGCACCTCCACAAACTTCCGTGATGCTCCAGCTGCTCAGCTGAGCATCGCACAGGAGCTGTACATGCCATGTGCATGCACGGAAACACCGAAGACTTAAAATACTGGTAAGGAGCTTGGGCAGGCGGGTGGGCCGTCCGGAGCATTGTACTGGAACAGTATCTGGTGCTCCAAGCAGCCTCCGGTACGCCTGTACCGGGGCATACCGCCTGCAACCCACCACTGATAATCCCTTCAACACAATTGAATGGCCACAATTCAATTTATTTCCTTATCACTCTAATACATGTAGCATAATCATTGCATTGGTAAACATGTGGTATTATTTGTAATTTGCATTGGTAAACATGTGGTATCATTTTTATTGTGTAGTGGGCTTCAGTAGGCAGGAACAGACCAGCATAGATACAACAGCATTTATTGACTCAAAACTGGAACTGTGGAATAACAGAGAAATCCCTGTAATTTATGCTGTGGGCCCACAAGGCCTTAATTACAATACTTGAAAAAGCCCACCCAAATATGAATGTTCTAAGTTTCCCTCCAAAACAGTTGCAGTTAATAGTTAACATCTTCTAAAGGTTAGTTTCACTTTAGCAGGGCTTAACACAAATATATATATATATATA